ACACTTCTTAGTTTATGTTTACTGTGAAGGTACATCCTCAGTCTTTCAAATGCATGTTCTGGCTGGTGATTATCTAACAAATTTTTTTTTAGAGCAATTTTTGTGAAACCATGGATAAGTCAAAAATTTGTGTTATTTTCAAATATGAGTTCTATTGTGAAACTAATGCAGTGCGGACAGCTTGAAGTATCAACGAACTGTTTGGGAAAAATGTGGCTAATGAACCCACAATAGGTCAATGGTTTGAGAAGTTCCATTCTGGTGATTTTAATCTTGAAAATAAGCCATGTGGGTGACCTGAGACCAAGGTGGATAATGATGAGCTAAAAGCTGTAGTGGAAGCGAATCCATCTCAACCTATGCGTGAATTAGCAGCAAGGTCTGATGTTACCATTCCAACAACATTAGACCATTTGAAACAAATCGGCAAGGTAAAGAAGCTAGATAGGCCAGGTGCGGTGGCTCACGCCTGTAATCCTAGCACTCTGGGAGGCTGAGGTGGGTGGATAGTTTGAGCTCAGGAGTTCAAGACCAGCCTGAGCAAGAGCGAGACCCCCGTCTTGTACTAAAAAAATAGAAAGAAATTAGCTGGACAACTAAAAATATATATAGAAAAAATTAGCCAGGCATGGTGGCACATGCCTGTAGTTCCAGCTACTCAGGAGGCTGAGGCAGTAGGATTGCTTGAGCCGAGGAGTTTTAGGTTGCTGTGAGCTAGGCTGACACCACAGCACTCTAGCCCTGGCAACAGAGCCAGACTCTGTCTCAAAAAAAAAAAAAAAAAAGAGAGAGAGAATTATGCCCTCCAATAGTAAAGACTAAAGAGTTTAGTCTTTAGCATTCATTCCTAAGCTATAGTGAAAGCTGAGAAGCCTTTGAACATTTCAATGTCCTTTTGCAAATGCTACCTTTTATAAGGTCAAATGAATACACTCAAATCAATAACATTATATAAGGGTCATCAATGCAAAAGAAATCAGCCAAAGTAGACTTTAGAAAACTATGTTATTTATTAGAGTCTTCTAGTAGCATATAAATAATGCAATGTAGACATGGGTTAAAGGAACATGAAGTGAGAGATATGTATTAAGTAGATAAACAAATGAAACACCATACTAAATTTCACATTATCTTGAGTATTTTAGGAAGTTATTTTTTTAATTGAAAATATGCTTTAACAACAAAAAACCTGCCATACACTGGACAATGTGAATAACTACATAATACCTGTAGATCAGGTTCAAAGGAAGATACAGTATAATATTTTAGCTGCCAGTACTGCCAGCGTCAAAAGACTGAAGGCCTAGTGCACCCCTTGGAAGACAAATTTGGCCAAAAAAAATTCCTTTTTTTTTTCTCCAAATGTGGTTAAATAAACCAGATATCCCCAAAGTAATGAAGACTCATTTCAAGTAATTATTCTGCTTACAAGTTTTATTTACATAGTAATTGTTACAAGTGGTTTTTAGTGAATTTCTTGTATTTACATTTTATATACACATTTATACTTGGAAGATAAAGGAACTGTACAATAATAAAAAATAAGACAAAGAAATACATACAGTAACTTAGATCCAACTCAGGAAACGAATACATAACAGACTAAATTTAGGCAGGTAGTATAACCTCAAGGAGATTACCACCAGATGTTACATTCCCTCTATCAGGAACACCAACACCAAGGAAGTAGTTACCAGAGTTAAAAGGTCATTCTAAAACCTATTAAGATGGTGGACACTCTCTCAGTATTTTATTATACCACCAGTTTCCACTAAGCAAACCCCTATGACAGCAGTTACCTTTTGAGGGTTCCACTAGTAGTCCTTAGGCTAGAATAACCCATGGGGTAAAAAATATATGGGGACCCTCTGGTCCCATACTCCTAAAGAGGCAGTCACTACACTAACAAGGACCTCACCCTTATTAGTTTGAAGACTATATATCACTAACAGAAATAGTGTGCTTAAATGTTGTTTCAAACCAAACTGCAACATTAAAATGCACTATAAATCTTATTATTAACAAAATGGCATGTTATACAGGTATCACTCATAATACTCAAGTAATTTAGTTTTGGTTCAAAAATTAAACATATTATAATAAATTTAATGCCAATTTACCAGTGATTAATAATCTCTTTATCCACAATGCTATCAAAGTTAGATTCAGAAAAAAGTTAATTTTATCTTTTTCTTTTACTCTCGTTTCCACTGATTAGAAAAAATTATGCATAGTGTTTTACAAGTCACAAACTTAGCTACATATTAAGATTTCAAATTTCAAACTGCAATTAACAAATTTTGTATCTGTAGACAGTGGAGGAATTTTAACTAACAAATTTTAAGTCTTGCCAAGTAGCATGCTATTTGAGAACTCTCAGGATCCATTACTTTTACTCTTACCAGTGAAAAACCTCATTTATATTTTTGGACTTACTTCCAAAGTCAAGTCTTCAGTCCACTAAAGTGCAAAGAACTTTCCTTCTACCAGTTATTTCGTTTTCCTAATGTTAAATTACTAGATGAACAATCTGTTAGAATAGAACTAGAAAGGCTAAAATTCTTTGAATGATATGAATTCTTTGAGGAAGAGAAAAAATTCTCCTTCAAAAACAAATAGACACAGTACTGTAGAAAAACACCTAAACAAACACTAAACAATCTCTCACCAATATTTCCAGTTCCTAGACAACTCAAATTTGCCCCAACCTGTGAATGAAGACAACATCTTCAGTGACTTAAATAATTTACAACCACAGTTGCGTATTCTTGGTTTATAATATCTTCAAAAAGTCAGAACTGGAGATAATATCTGTACTAAAGTATTCTGGAGGTCAAAGTAGTATTTAACAATCCTACTCTAACCTCCAAAGTGCCTTGTGGTAATTGTTACAAAAGAAAAGATGTAAAAATTTGAAGTATCTCCAAAGCTATTTAAAAAATTTATTGCGTTAAACTGTTCACTCCAAACTACGGAGTATCAATTAGCCATTTAAACTTTTCCTTTGAAAAATGGCTCTACTTACAAAATACTTGTTCATTAATACTGTCAGTAAGTTATTATTTCATTTACTTCAGCCATGGAATTTAAATTGGTAGTTTTCCACCTCTTGATTCTTTTAGATTTCTCCAACATTTTCCTCCATGCCTTTTACAAAGGAAACAACAAACTTCTATCCCAAAAACATTTTCTATTTTTCAATTAGTTTGCCAGTTTTGAAGATCAGCTTTTCAGAGCAGGACTACTGTTCTTATCTCCTTCTTTAATATCCTTCATTACAGATGCAAAGACCTGGAAATTATATAAAATAAAGATTAATCCTCAAAAACCACACTACCACCTAGATTAAAGACATTTAAATAACTATAGTTTATAAAGATGAAAAAGTTTTAGTATACTTAACTCCGTCCCCTGAAAGATTGCCATTTTTAAATCCCCTTATTTTAAAACCAATTTTATGGACTATCATTAGATTCCAATTTTCATTAATTGCCAAATACTCTGAAATTACTATTTGGAAACAAGAGATTTTTTTGGACCACTATTCCTACATTTCATTTTCATAAATGCCAATTGTCTGTATTGTTCATGGATCAAGTGATAATACTGTCTTTTATGTCACTTAACTTCGACTGCTAATGTTTACTTCCCTAATAAGACTGAGGATCTAAAAGCCAGGATCATACATTATATATTCTTTCTAGTGCACACCCTTAGTGCTTAGCAGATGTTTAATAAAACTGTTGTCTATTTGAACTACCAAGGTAATAACTGCTCTGGCAAATAAATGACTATTATGGTTGTACTTCACTAAACTCATAAAATATTACTGGCCTTACATAAAAATAAAGCCCTAGGTTTAAATAGGTGAGAAAAGGGGGCAATCTATTTTAAACTCTTGCTCTTTCAAAGTCAAAAATTATTTTTTAACTTAACCACTAACATTTGAGAAATACGTAAGTTTTGTTTTTTCATTATTCAGACATCAAGGTACAGAAATATATAATGTTTTTACAAGAAGCAACTAATTTTTCTTACTTTTTTTATATTTTTATTTAACCACTAACATTTGAGAAATACGTAAGTTTTGTTTTTTCATTATTCAGACATCAAGGTATAGGAATATATAATGTTTTTACAAGAAGCAACT